ACAATGGTCAGTGCTAAAAAAAATAAAAATAAAGTGTAATTATGAAATATTGGATATTATGATCATGCAGTCTTCTATCCAGCCAGGAGGTGAAGCTCTAGTCACCTTTCCACATGTGAATCACTACATCACTCTCAGAACAAAGCCTGTGTGTAGTGAGTCCTCCCTTATCAAAATGGCTCAGTCAGATGGATGGCTTAGTTGTCTGTGCGGCCTCTCCTTAGCTAACCCATGGTGATTTGGGAATCCGTTGTCAGATATTAATGTGTCCCTCAAATATATATCAATCTAAAGCCAAAAATGTTTTTCATTTTGCTTTGGGTAGGTAAAGGTTAACACATATCAGGTGTTTTTATGCCATCTGTGTACCATTCAGGAGAGTATGCTTCACTTCCTGTCCTGTAAAGACAACAGGGAGTGCAGGGAAAATTCTCCAAAGTGATGGAAATTCCCTTTTAGACAGTTGTCACTGGAACAAGATTTCCCCTCTTTTTCTACTCTGGCTCAAAAATGTTTTATTTTCCTCATTTCTAGCCCTTGTGACAATCTTAATGCTCATTGGTGCCCTGTGATGCCATTCATCCAAAGGCACCTCCCCAACACACCACCATCATTTTCAATTGATGGGCAGGGGGGGTTGGCGGCGCGGGGGGCGTATTGTGGAACCTGGCCTTGGGGCGGCAGGGGGAGTAAATCCGGCCCTGCACATCACATGGCAACTCACTACTGTGTGTTGTGGTGCACTGCATTGTTCAAAATGGTTTGGTCTGATTTCCAACCAGCTGCTTTCCCCCCTTGATCACCCCCCACATGTAATAAATATTATTTTAATGCACAGTAGCTGCAGTGTGCAAAAGAGCAGAAACAGTTACATTCAGAATATATTAAAATAAAAATGTGCTGGGAGGTAGAGCTTTGTGGCAGAAGCTACATGCAATGCCTCTTCAGCCACAAAAATGTGTAACTCTTTATTTCCTGTGTACACTGTAAGGCACATAAGATGCCGTGAATGGGCCTGATGCCAAGGAGAATGTAAGCTGCATGCGCAGTAGTTGTGTCACCAGTGGCTTCCCAATGGCCAAAGAGGATGCATGGGAACCTGGAAGTGTTGGCAGAGGACAAAAAAAATGTACGCAAGGTTTCACTTCCGCTTTAATATGGATAAGTTGTATATAGCGTGACATATCTGTGACATGGTAACCTCAAGGCTGATTTGACAACAAGACAAAAATTTGAAGCCGTAGAAAATTTCCCCAGGCTTTTACATAGAAATTGTCATTGTTAGAACTATGGGATAATACAGAATATTGTAATGGCTTTAAAGCCACAGGTAGGCGCATAACAAAACTCAGAGTGTGAGAAGGATGGTTAGTACTTGAAGCCAAAGCCAATTTTGCGTACTGGACATCATATGAATGATCTCATTAATGTGCTACTGTTGCTTTGTTATTTAGTTACAGGCAGTAGGGAGGTCCTGAGCCAGAGGCTGGAGGGGGGTCCTGGACCAAGTGGTCTTGACCAACTGCAATGTAGTCTGCTGGGAGATCCAGAGTCTGGCTTGGTATCTAGAAAGGGTGCCAGATCACAAGACTGGCTGAATAAAATTGGCATACTTGTGTGTTTAGTGGCTTATCTGAAATGTGGCTTGAAAGGATTTCCCAAAGCTAGGTACATTCTGAGGATACTACACTGGCATAATGATCACTGCTTGTATTATTACTGGGTTATGTCTTCAGATAATAACAGTGCTCAATATAATTTGTTCTTAAAGCAACCCTGGCATGAAAATGCAATCTCAAAGCACATTGTCTGTAAAAGAAGAAATTAAACACTCACCTTTCTCACTGCTCCCACTGACGACCTGTCACTATAGGGCACAGGTGTGGAAGCCAGTGAGAAGAAGCACGAGTTTGACACTCCTAGAAGTGTCAGTTTCTAAAGAAGACTTCAGGGGAGGATTTCTCGTTCTCAGAGTGGCGGGAAAGGGGAGTTTTTATTCTCTCCTTTAACAGGTAATGAGTTTTGAGATTTTACTGCTTGCAGTTGCTTTAAACCAATGCCAACTAACAGTTACTTTAAAATATATTTTTGTACTTCCATAAAACATTTACAATGTACAAATAAATATGTGGGTTCAATTAATAATAAAGATCATTAAGAGATACATTTTGTGACCACAAGGCATTAAGAAGGTACTAAGAGAATAAATAAATGTATCTCCAGACCCAGCAAACAGCTTGAGGAATTGCCAATTATTGAATAAGTTTGCTCTGGTCAATTAAACTTTGGCACAGCAATAAGAGAGTATTGTGGGGTAATGTATTCTTCTCACTATGATGTCCAGTAATATAATTAGGTCCTTCACGCTGGTTTTGTAGCAGGACCTGGCAAATTCAGAAATTAAAATGAATATTTATGCAACTAAGAAACAGCAGGAAGTCTGAGAGCAGAATATGGACTCTGTTTAGAGCATCATTTTGAAAAGATAAGTCAACTTTGAAGTACGGCAACACAGTGCAAAACGAGTAAAATATTTTAGGAAATGTTTAATTCAATATGCAGAATTTATCATTTCCCCTCCCCTTCCTTGTCACTCCAATTTAAGTTCTTGCTCCCATATGCACCAAAAGACAGCATTTGGTGGACGTTTTTAACATCTGTCAAGGGACACCTCTTCTGCTACCCCCAACTACTGGGCTTGGAGGAATGCATTGAGACAAACAGCATATACACATCTGTGTTTGCCCTGCACTGTGTTGGTCCACACTAACCTCAATGGCTTCCCCGATGGGCCACCTACAAGGATATAGACTGAAGCACATCTTAACAGAGGCTGAAACAATATCGACACTAGATGCTCTCCTGGATTCATCACCTCTGTGAACTAACCCTAAAACAGGTCATGGACCACATCTCAGGTGTGAACCTGGTGCTACACAAAACTATAAAATAACTACCCGTAAGAACTTCTGGATTTTGTGCTAAACTACAGGATGGAATGCCTCTATTGTTTTCTAGAAGGCTTTAGGACAAGGAAACTCACACTACTACATTGAAACCCCTCCAAAGCATGGTTTTCCTTAGAGAATCCAATTCTATGTCTGGTCTGGTATAACAGAAACCCCCACCACTCTTTCTTACCTAACACAGTCATGACTGTCTTCATTAACTTTATTGGAGTCCGTCTTCGGCTTATTGAGCCAGTGGTATGTGAAGACAAGACGTTGGTCTTCCTCTGCACGTACATGTAAATTCTCAGGTAGACCACCACCATGATTAGAAAAACTACCAAATTAGAGACAGTCCAAAAAATGAGATAACTCCGGCTGTAGATGGGTGCAAGGGAGGAGCACGTGGTGATGTCACAAATACAGTTCCAGCCCAACGTGGGAACAGCACCCATAAAAATAGCAACACCCCAGATGAGCAGAATGAGACATGTCACCCTCCTTTTGGTTAGGTTGGTATGGATTCTCATTCGCACAATGGATATGTGCCTCTCAACAGCAATAACCAGGAGATTCGCTAGTGATGCGGTCATGCTAGTATCCAAAAGGCCCTGCCGCAGGAACCATCGATGAACAGTGAGCGTTTTGGACACCGGCCCCGTGTGGAACATCATGAAAACATAGGCAATCCCAGAGAACAAGTCCGCAGCTGCTAAGTTGGCCAACAAGTAATAGAACGGGTAGTGGAACCTTTTGTTTATCACGACGGCCGCGATGACCAACAAGTTAGAGATAAATATAAACAGAGAGCAGAAGGCACCGAAACAAAACAACAAAATCAGCTTGGTGCCAGTCCAATCATCCTCTGTTTGAGATTTGCTCTGATTGTAGAAAAAGTCCATCCGCTTATCATAGTGACACACGTTCATCCTGAAGAGGGGCTTTCATCCTGCAAGTGAAAAAATAAATAGGAGGTCAAAATATTTCCAAAAGCTACACCCTTATTTATTCAAATGTAGAATATAAATGTTACCAGCACACCAATGGATAATGTTCCAGAAAACCTCCTTTTTTTCACGGAAATTTGTCAAATCTTCTTTTTTTTTTGTCTCTATTGGTTGAACTCGATGGACTTGTGTCTTTTTTCAACCTGACTTACTATGTAACTATGTAAGAATGCAACGATTCGGGGCCGCGCAAGGTCCCCTTCATCAGGCTTAACATTAGGGATGCACTGATATATCGGCCACCGAAAAACATCGTCCGAAAATGGCACTTTTGGCATGATGCCAAAAATTGAATTTTCTGGCCGATACAGTGGTGCATCCGTGTGTTCTCTCCTCCCCGCTGGGCGCTGCTCTGTGCCCCAGCGGGGAGGAGAGAAACTGACAGCCGACCGAGCGCTGCGGGAGGAGAGCACTGTGAGCGGCCGGCATCTCTCCTCTCTGCACCGCTCAGCCTCCTGTCACAGTCTGGCAGAGTGGTGCGTGGGCAGAGACAGCCACCGTTGTCACAGGATGCTGAGCTCTCCTCCCGCATCACCTCCTGTTCATTCATGATTGTGGTTATAGTAAACATATTCTGTCCTCATGTTATGAATGAACAGGAACACTCAGTATAGAGGATTCCTGTTCATTGATAACAGGGGCTGCAGAAAAATACATTTTCTCTGTGTCCCCAATCTTTTTTTTAAAAAGTTAACAATAAAAGCATTTTCGGTTTCGGCCTGACATTTTTTTTATTCCGGTTTTGAAATTTGCATTTCGGTGGATGGATAACTTAACATGTTAATCATTGGTGTGCTGGTTATAATATACATTGTGATGTGCGGTACCCATCCGCAGTCACTTCAGGATCCACCTTTCCAGCACAAGGGGCATTCGGTAAAGCGTGCAGCAGTTTTCTTCAGTTATGTCCTGGTTTATTAAAAAGTGCAAACGACTGGTGTTGACCATTGTATCCAATCCACATTATTAGTTTTGTTTTTCTCTTTTTCTATGAATGTTATAGTTTTTGTTTAATAGTTTATTTTGTATAAAGTTTTATACGGTTTCTTCTTACTTTTATTCACTTCTGATTAATATAGAAGTGACTCACCTATCCTTTGTATAAATAGAAATCAATGTTTATTAAATACCA